GTGTTAAAACTGTACTTGAATGAAAATTCCAACTTTTGAGAAGAGAACTATTATTGCCCTTTTTATCATGGTTGGATTATTGTTCTTGTTTCTGGTTTAGAATTTAGATCTTTGTTTTGCAGATTTATAATTTGTAAAGTAACATAGCATTTACTTAACTGTTATTAATAGAGATCTCGTGAAGATTGAATATCCAATCTTGAAAATCTTTAAGTCTGTTATGTTAAAACAGTTTCATTAAAAAAGAACTGTGTGAGATTTTTCAAAGGGTTCTTTTGCTTTTAGTAATATAAGCGTTAGAGTTCACCAATTATTATTATTATTATTATTATTATTATTTTTGAAAGTTTATAAACCTCTTCTTAATGACAAAAAAGTGATGATCTATATACATGAAAATAATAATAATAATAATATATCATTTAATAAATGGCGCATAGCTCAACCATATTATATTTTGTCAGCAATGGGAGACCAATTCACAGAAATATACCGGAATAAAACAACTAATTCTACAGGAACTATACAAAAAAGAAACAACTAATTTACAGGAACTATCCCTAAAAAAATGTATATATATGTGTACGTGTGTATATATATATATATAAGAACTGTACAAAAAGCATTTGGCAAATACAGTACAATAATGCAATGAACTTTTCTATTATTAGATTAGTACAACCAGGAAGCTCACGACACACACATTTAATTGGTTCGTTCCTTCAGATAAAAAAAAAATGGTTCATTCCTGATTTCTTTTCAAATAAATCAGAACAGACAACACTAAACTAAAAGTTCATTTCATCTTTCTTAGTGCTAACCGCAAAATTTTCATATGACAACCACAAATTCTTCTTAGCTTTCAATTGAGTACACGACATAGTTTGATGTAAAAAAAATATTTCGACTAAAAAGAAAGTTTCTAAACATTAAATCTTATCAAAATCACATCAAAATAAACAGTTAACATAACTGAAAGAATTAGATAAAAATTTGATAGTTCAAAACAGCATCGCGCACGAACAAGTAGAATTTTCATGCACGATCAAAAAGTTGTCAAAAGTTTTAACCCAAAAGAAAAAGGTGTTGATCATGCATGCACGCAGTCATGATGGAGAAAAACGGCAGAGCTGGACATAATTGCAGTTGTAGCTATGTTGTGACAACAAATAAAGTGCCACAAGATCTAATGTGCTTAATGGAATACATATATATATATATATATATAAGTATATACAAATATAAACATCATTCATTAGCACAAAGTTAGTCTTTTTTAGCAGAAAAGAGAGCCATAAAAAGGTCTTAATATTACCTGTGATCAATCATTTATATACTTGTAGCTTTTGACTTTTGAGAGCAGAGAGACACCATCAAAGTGTGTCTTTTTCTTAGTGCGCTGGAAATAGCAGCAGAAACTTCTCACGCCCATGGCTTTATTTTATTTTATTTTATTTTCCTGGGATTTGCAGCAAATGGGTGTTCATTTCTTGATTAATTTTAGTTTATCATTGATTAACTTAGTAGTTTTTCACTGATCAGCTCGATAATTTATCGTTAATTAACCATGGTTCATCACTGATATGTAGAAATAGTCATTTCCTTGAAAAAAAAAAAAAATTCAGCTATTTGTCTAAAAAGATAAAAAGTTTGTCCATTTAGTATTTTTTTTTTTTTTTCGCTTCAGCATCCAGAGAGCAAGACAAGAGGGTGACATAGCCAAAGATGGCTTTTTTTTTTTTTTTTTTTTTTTTCCCTGCTTTTTCCCAATTTCATTTGTGTGAAGATCTTTTTCACTTTACGAATATTGCTCCACTTAATAGACAAACTTTTTGAAGTAAGACAATCACAACCAGCTCAGGAGAGAATAGCTTTTCCCTAAGCATGAAACTTCTCAGAATTATGCACTTTGGGTCCTTCAGATTCCAACAAAAAAAACATAGTGCTCTTACCCGCGGGCCATTGGATGTTTGCCATTGTTCAACAAACTTATAACATCACTTAAGAATTGTCTCTTTTCTGGACAAACACATACATCACTTGAAATATCTCAGTCATTGAGTTGTGAAGCAGCAATATAAATATACCTTTCAAAGATTCCAACTTTTTCCTTTTTTGTCTACAAGTAACTTATGGAACTTTCTGTGTTATGCATAAGTGCATGACATGGGGTTACATCTTCCATACTGAATTCAAAAAAATTAACCTAAATGCATGTGGGAGAAATCCCCAATATACCCTTACTAACTCCACGTCAGAGCGATAATTCCCAACTCATATAGTAGCTACCAATAATCATTGCATGAACATATTCCTTCTTTGAAAGTGTGGAAACGAGAACGATCTCTGACAATTAGTTCCCTCTTGTAAACTAGAGAGATGGCCTTTAAAGCTGAATGACAATCATCACATGTCCTTAGATTTTTCACTATCCTAATGGAACTCCCAGGCTCGGAACTCATCAGTCCGAAAGCCACAGCTAGCTTCTCGCTGTGATAAGCGACTGCGTGCTCTTTGTCTTCCTCACTTAAGTCAAACGAAACTTGCCTTGTACTAGCAACATAGCCTCCTAGGCGAGCACGTTTCAGAACTTCGTGCAACTTCTCTTGAATCCCCGCAATCCGAGGATGCCATTGATCAGCAGCTCGAAACTCGTGAACAACTCCATTCACTTCAATCCAACTATACCCCCGGCTTGATTGGTTTTTCTTCTTCCTCCTCTTACTCATTAGGTTCCTCAGTTCCGCAACCCTCTCCCATTTTCCTAGAGAAGCGTTTAAATTCGAGAGAAGCACCTTGCCTTCGTTGTGACCATTAAGGTCCAACTCCTCAATGTGGATTGCAATTTGTTCTCCTAATTTAGCGTTGCGATGGATTCTACACGCGCTGAGCAAAGCCCTCCATATAACAATGTCGGGGCGCATTGGCATACTTGTGACAACCTCAAATGCCCTCTCCAAAAGCCCGGCACGGCCAAGCAAATCAACATAACATCCGTAGTGCTCGATCTTGGGAATGATACCCCACGAGCTCTCCATGTCAAAGAAGATTGATGAACCCTCATTTACCAAACCCGAATGGCTACATCCATTTAGTAGTCCTAGAATTGTAATGTCATTAGGGATAACATTTTCCTCCAACATCTGAGAGAAAACTTGCAGAGCCTCTTTACCAAGTCCGTGAAGGGATAAGCCATTGACCATGCTTGTATAATTGAAAACATCTCTTCTGGAAGCTGCGTGAAAAACTTGTTTCGCGCGGTCTATTCTTCCGCATTTTGCATACATGTCAATTAGAGCAGTTATAATACTACTACTAAATTTGATTCGATTACCATTTATATATCCATGTATCCAATTCCCTTGATGTAAAGCCCCGAGATGAGCACAAGCAGATAAAACCGAAACGAGAATAACTTCATCAGGCTTCACCTTGCCTTCAGATATCATGTCATGAAAACATCCGAGAGCTTCAACATGCCTCTCGCAGTCAACAAAACCCGATATCATAACAGCCCACGACACGCTATTACGAATCGGCCTTCCATCAAACAGCCGAAAAGCTTCATCAATCTCCCCACCTCGTGTATACCCGCGTAAAAGACCAGTCCACGTGAAAGCGTCTCTCTCCGGCATTCCATCAAACACTTTCTGCGCATCTTCCCACCTCGCAAAAAAGGCATAAACGTTGATCACCGAATTGCCCACAAACAAATCCAACTCCAACCCATTTTTCACCGCCATCCCATGAACAACTTCCCCGCAATGCATCGAATTCTGATGCGAACAAGAGGTGATCACGAAGGTGAAAGTATACTTGTCAGGGACAGCCTTAAGGCCCTCATTCATGGCCAACATTTGAGTGAAAAGATGTAGAGATTCTTGGGAGTTTTGAAGCTTGGAATAAGCCCTGATCATGAGGTTCCATACCAAAGTGGGAGGCAAAGAAGAAGGATAACGATCAAAGAGAATTCTTGCCTTGTTAAGGTCCTTAATACAGAGGTAACAGTTAATGAGAGAAGTGGTTAAAGAAGCATGAGAAGAAAGTGCAAAAGTGACGACTTTTGCATGGATTTGTTTAAGGTTGGGGAGTGAAGGACCCTTCTTTAGCAACTGAAAAAGTGTTTGTGGGATTGGGTGGTCAAATGGGATTTTGTTTGTTGGTCTGGAAATGGCGGGTGATGTGGTTGATGAGGAGAAGAAAGAGGGAAAAGCTTTGAATTTGAAACGAAGAAAAGTATTAAGGTGTTTGAGTTTGGACCTTTTCATCACTCGCGTTTGCTGTTTTGTGGTATTTTACTATGCTATATATGTCACATGCAATGGCGAGAATGAGATTACAACAAATAAGGGTTTTGGTAAAGTGTAGTAGTTATGGACTCTCTCTCTCTCTCTCTCTATATATATACACATATATTTTTTAGTTTTTAACCGGTGGGTATCTAGAATTAGTCCGACTAATCCCACGGGACCTCACCGTATCGGAAAGCTTAGTTAAGGTAAATCCCTAATATATTCGCCTTAAAGGATAGATTACTTGGTGTACCGGTAATGCCTAACATATCGGTAAGATATGTTTTTTTAATCGTTAAATCTATATACTTTTTAATTTTTATGTGATATTTTTACAAATCTAAAATAGATAAAAAATTTAACTTGTTAATATATTAGCGTCCCAAGAAAATAAAGCCTTTTTAAAGTTGTTTAATAATAATAATGTTGCGTACCGGTAAGATATGTTTTTTTAATCGTTAAATCTATATATTTTTTAATTTTTATGTGATATTTTTATAAATCTAAAATAGATAAAAAATTTAACTTGTTAATATATTAACGTCCCAAGAAAATAAAGCCTTTTTAAAGTTGTTTAATAATAATAATGTTGCATTTTGGACCAACCATGTAAAAGTATAATGCATTTTGAATTTTGATTTGAACATTTTGTGTAGATATAGCACAGCTGCCACCTGTCAGAAAAAGACCATAAACCTCAAGAGTAATTCTTTCAATAAACTGTGTTTGATAGGGACAAATAATGGAGACATTCATTCAACTTCATAACTTTTGTGGCAGACATTCTCTTGGGGTAAAGTCAAGCATACCCATCAATAACATTTTTGACTCCAAAATGCTAAACGTTCAATATGTACACACACACACACACACATATTTAGACAAGAACCTGAAAAGATCCTAGAGACCAACAGCTTTGTTATGTCTTTATGCTCATAGAGTTTTGTGACAAAATGTTGTAAAATTCTGAACAAACTTCATGTATGTATAAGTATTGGTATACAAATAAAAACAAAGAAGGATTACAGAAGAGAAAAAAAAGGCTGAAACCATGACATGTCCTACATCACAACAACCTCAAATCATCCAACGAAACAAAAAACACAAGACATTTAGGCTAACCACACCGTTTTATTTGGAAAACAAACTCACCAATATATGTTATTATTTTTCATTTGAAAGCTCACACTCAAAAAATTAGCAACAAAGTGAAAACTCAAACTAGACTCTTCTTTTTCACCGCTACAGCGAGTAGCATTTTCGATATCCGCCGAGAGAAACTTGTGACCAAACAGACCATGGTGTGTAGAAGTTACACGGCTAGTGAGTTCTCAGTCACCCCTTTGACATCGGCTAGTGAGTTCTCAGTCACCCCTTTGACATCTTCATGCTTGTCGAGTTGGCTGAAGTTTCCCTTTGCCTTGAAGAGTTGCGTATGGTGATGCTTACAATAGAGACGCTGCTCGTGGGCCACGTAGTTCGATGGGCTGATCACGCAACCACCGTGAGTGCACCTGAAACAGGCTTTATGGTATGACGTACCATCGACCGCCACCTGAAAACGCCACAGTCAGTGTCTAATCCGCTCACTCAAGAATAAGCTCATTGATCCTAAATAAACTGCAGGACTCCCTTTATTTTAATCTCTTTTGGATTTGTTTTTGGGATAAAAGCAGATTGTTAAAAGCCTAAAACGCCTCTTTCGATACACATACACGATTATTACGCACAATCTCACAAAGATTAGTCATATGCCAGCATTGAAAGGAGTTATGATCAGATCAGAGAACTTAATTTTGATGTTTCATATAAAATTCTGCACCATAGCTCACTATTTTTTTCATCAAAAGCTTAAGATTACCTTCTCAATTGGATAAACAGTTTTCTTGCAAGCAACACATTTTTCTTGAGTGCCAGCAAACAAACGTGAGACTCTGCTGTTTGTTTGGATCTGAAAAATTTCTCACAATTAATTAAAACAAAAAAAATCCTTGAATTCTAGTACCAAATATGATTTTCCACAACTGAAATTGGCGACTTAACATATCAAGACATGGTACCTGATCAGCTGATCTGTCTCTAACAGTTTTTGGAGTACCTAAAAATAAATAAAAATAAATTAACTGAAATGAACATTAAATGGACAATTTTGTTTTAAGATGTTGATTAGGCGAAGGTTTTGAATGGATAACGACTTATTACCTTCGAAACTTTTGTCCAAACTACCGGTCATCTTAAGGAGTTGATCAAAGTGAGGCTTGCAGTACAAAACACCCTCAAAGGATGAATAATCACTCAGCTGCAGAAAGACATAAGAAAAAAAGATAAAAGTTCAATTTCAAAATATAGCAATAATGATCACATAAATATACAACCTCATGGTATGTTTATCTTGAAAAACCATGGAAATTCTGTACTTTTGTGCTTAATCCTCAGACACACACACACACACACAATAATGATCACATAAAAGGTAACCTCACGAGAACATCTTAACACTAACAAGGCCATGTTGGGTAAGAGGGAAAGAAAATAGGAAGGAAAGAAAGGCATATACCTAGGTGAGGAAAATAGAGAGGAAGGAGGGGATCTCTCTCTTATTTTGGTTAATATCGATTTCCTACTCTAATCACGTTATATTGGGAGAAATTAATATTGAGGTTCTTTAAAAGATTTAGAATCCCTATTCCCTCGAATTTTCCCTCCTACCAAACAGCCGCACGGGATCCTTCCACTAATCCGCTCACCCGTCATTTCACTTTTCCCTCCAACCAAACAAGTTCTAAGGCATGATACTATAGTTGTCTTCAAAATTATAAATCATACTCTAGTTCCATCAGTTCAATTATTACTCCATTTCCGTGTTTCTAGGATCTCTTGAAGATTCATCAAAGACTTGTCCAACAGAAAACCGAAAGATGGATTCAATTCATTTGCATTTTCCTTTTTCTTTGGTTGGTATTGAAATCTCTCTCTTGAATCACTAGGAAGAGAATTGGTACGGCAAGCTCTTTAGCCACTTCCTTAAACTCAATAAGAAATTTTAAACATATGAATATATGAGAAATGCTCCCTAAGAGAATTTTCACATTAGGACTTATATATTGATACATACCAGGAAGGCACTAATGGAAACATTATCTACAGCCTTAATAGGGATCAAAATATACACATAAAACAATCATAGCCTTGAGCTTTCCTATCATCACATGCCAAAAGGAAAAAAAAAAAAAAAAGAAAAAAAAAAAAAAGAGAGTCAAAAACAACACACAACAACAGAAAAGCAAAAGAAAAAAAAAAAAAGAGAGTCAAAAACAACACACAACAACAGAAAAGCAAAATCATCTTGTTTTTAATGCTCTAAACAAGATGGTACTATAGCAATTGAATCAAGTCTCAATTTTCTTCCATAGATCATCATCAACCAATCAAACAAAAACAAAAGTTAACAATCATGATCATCAACACTAAACCAAACTCACATAGAAGGATTCATAATTGACCTCAGACCATACATATACATACATATTCATCTATATATAAAGCAAAAGGCTAGAGCTACATAGATACATATCAAGATGATGATCAGATAGAAAAAGAAATCATGATGATGATTAAAAAATAAAAATAAAAAAGGAAAAAGAAAGAGTGAGGTGAGACCTTGAGGGTTCTTTTGCAGTGGTGGCATCTGAAACATGCCTTGTGATAAACTTTGTTGTCAGCAGTGAGCTGATCAACCAAGTACACAGTCTTCTCACATGCCTTGCACTTCTGTGTTGTCCCTGCAAATGTTGCCATCTTAACTAAAACCAAAAAAACAAAAAAAACAAAAAAGAAAAAAAAAAACCAACCAAAACCCCAGAAAAAACCTTCCTGTTTTTAGCTTTCTCAAAACAGACCCACAAAAACTTTAACACCACCAATAAAAGGAACACCGCTTGTTTTTTTGATCAGCAGATCAGAGAGAGACAAATTTTTTTTTTTTTTTGTCAACTTTGTCCGTCTGTTTCTCTCACTTTCAAATTTGAGAGTCTGAGGTTTACAGCTCAGAAATTGTCAGAGGAAAACAAACTTTGGAATATTACTTTTGCTTTTTGTTGTGATGGGCTTAAAATTTTGGAGTTTTTTTTATGTTAAGTACGTTAAATTGATTAAAATCACATTAAATAAAAAGAAAAAAAAAAACGTTTAGAGATAATTAGAAAAAAAAACGTTTAAAGATATCATGTTAAGTGGAGTACCACCTTTAGTAGAAGGTGAATCCCGTTATGTATACTTTTTTATTTTTTTATTAGTGCATGATGCTTTATCTCTATTCTAATATATTATTTAATAAAAAATACAAAATAAATGAAACTTTAATCTTTAATTTTTAATATACATAAAAGAGACATTTTTTTTAGCGCATTCTCTTTCATTTGTCAACTGTTGACTCCACCTTTTTTTGCTCTTTTTTTATTTCCTTTTTTTTTTTTTTTTTCCCTTTTTGTGCCCTTTAACCAAAAGTTCCTCAACAGTAAAGTTATTGCAATGTGCTTCTTTAAAATACATTTGTTTTTTTTTTATTTTGTTCCTATTAAAATAATTTCTTTTAAATATGTCTTTAATTTTTTTCTAAAAAAAATTAAATTTTATTCCTTTTTGTTTTACTTTTTCAAAATACCTATTTTTTCATGATAGCTTTCTAAATGTATCTCTATTTTTTTTTTTCCTTCGAAATAAAGTCCTTTTTATTTCACCATCCTTTACTTGTAAAGTATTAACTTCTTTTTTATTTTTTTCTTATTTTTTTTTTCAACTTTTCTTTAACATCCTTAATCTATCTAATATATATTATCTTTACAACATGTACTCACATTTTTTCTTTTGCATGTACACATTTAACCAAAATACATGTATGGTTGAGATATGCATTTCAATCCTTTTATTTTTTTGTTTATTTATAAATCTTCTATTTTCAAATAACCTTATTAAACTTTTTTTTTCTTCCAAAAACTACTTTTATTAAAATAAATTTTCTCATATGTGCGATAACCTAAACATATTTTTTCCTGTACTCAATATTTTTTGTCCGACCATCTTTGTAAATATTTTTCTCTAATTGCTTTCCTCAATAGTATCTTCTCGAAAGTATCTTTGCTTAAACATTTTTCTCATACAAGCCTCTCAAATACTTTTTTTTTATATTTACCCTATAAATAATTTATTTTCTAATTTTCTCTGTTAAAAACTTTTCTCCCTTTTAAATGTGCTCCGTTAATTAATTAATTAATTTTTATAAAAAATTTGTTATAAAAAGTTATAAGAAATGCATACCGAAAGCACGTGCTTTTAACTAGTAAAGTATACAAAACTTATAGAACTTTTATACAAATTTATCAACTTAAAGCAAAAATCTTGTAATAGTCCTTTTTTTAAAATTTTTCTTTTTTCAATCTTGAACGCTCATTTCTCCAATTATTTTTTAAATTTTAGACCAATCAAACATGCTAGTTGTACCACTTCAGGGACAACACGGTAATTTGGTCCTGAAGCCAGACCCTGTCGAATTACTATGCTACCCTCAATGGGGCGAGTGTTTATGATTGGCTGAATCATATCACAAAATCTTTACCGGATAGATTCTAACATGTTGCGCTTTTCTCGCAATGGCGAGTTAAACTACTCCGTCTCAGAGCGCATGTGATTCATTTCAGTAATTGTTTTTTTTTTAGCAAGATTCGTTTAAGTATTATAACAGGAGTTTGAATTTTTATTTTTTATTTTTAATTAATATTTTTTTAATAAAAAAATATTAATAAAAAATAATGGATAAAAATATAAACTTATACATTCTAATGATAAGTTCAGTAATCTTTTACATTTTATTTGATAATGTCTAACGTATTAACATTAACTTTTTTATAATGAAAATGAATAAACATGATTTCAATAGTTTCTTTTCTTTTATATATTTGTAAGCGTTTGCAAATTGATTAAGTTACTATTGAAAATGGTCATTAATGAGAGAAATTTCTAAGATTGTTTTCAATTGGCAGATGCATTTTAAGAAAAACGAGGTTGCATACGTTTATTATTTTTGTCAAGCTTATTTTTTAGAAAAATGTAAAATTTCAATCAAAGGTCAAATTAGTCAAAATCATAAGAAAGAGAAACAAAGTAAAATATATCTCGTAAATCTGACAAGAGAATAAAAAGCATATTAAACCAAAAGGTGAGTAGTCCCGAATTTAGTGGTGGAACTTCGAACCAGTGGGCCGCCCGAAGCCTGAATTTTTTCAGGCTCGGGCGGGCAGGCTTATATGCCGGTCCGTTCAAGGTGGATATTCGGGCTCGGGCTCAGGCAGCCTAAATTTTGAGACCACGCCGGAGCCTGCCGCCGTGTAGGTGCCGTCGACTGCCGTCCGCCGGAGTTTTTTTTGAATTTTTCCGGCCAAGCCCGATTTGCCTGAATGCCCGACCCGCACAAGCCCGAAAATCATGAAAAAACGGTCAGAAAACGACCGTTGGCTGCCCGACCTGAATTTTGCCCGAAAACCTGAATTTTGCCCGAATACCTGAGATGCCCGATCTGCCCGAAAACCCGTCCAACGGCTAGTTTTTGCCCGAACTCGAACCCGCTGAACCCTAAACTAGCCGTTGTAGCCCGAATTTTTTGAAAAAAAAAATCATTTTTTTAACCTAAAAATTTCTCTATAAATACCCCTCATCCCCTACACATTTTTCTCACTCAAACTCTCTCAATCTCTCTCAATTTCTCTCAATTTTTCTCAATCTCTCTCAATCTCTCAAATCTCTATTACAATTTTTCTAAAAACTCTCACATTATCCTAAAGCTCTCTCTCTCTCAAATCGCTATTATTTTTTTTTTATAATGGATTCTTTTGGTTATAGTGGTATTCTCATTGATGCTCAACACAACGTGAAAGAAGGGCAATTTCCCACTAATGAATTTGTTACGCAAGAATCTACTAATCCGAGCCCTGGTGAACGTACTGGAGGTCGTGGTCGCAATGGTGGCGGGCGTGGAGAAACAGCGAGTGCCAGTGCGACTGCGTCTGCAAGTGTTGCAACCTCTAGGAGGAAATGCAAGCGTACCTCGACAGTTTGAGATCACTTTGACATAATTGATGAGATCGACAATGAAGGTAACACTAAACATATAGCTTAATATAAATATTGTTTATCTAAATTATAAGGTGACACTATTCACAGCACCACACACTTAAGAAGACACTTTGAAAAGTGTCTACAAAAGCTTAGCCAATCCGGCGGACCCGAACTCCGCCAAGCACAATTATCTTTTGATCGCGCAACCGTACGATCCGCAAGTAGATCGTATGGAAGTTGCACGAATGATAGCTGCTTTAGATCAACCACTTAGTTTTGTAGAGCATCCTAATTGGCAACGATATATTAAGGTTGTACATAATCCTAATGCACAGTTTACTTCAAAAACTACTCTTAGAAAAGATTTATTAAAATTATTTAAAAAAGAAAAAGAAGCATTAATAAACCTTTTACACTCGACTAGCGGGTGCGTTGCGTTAACGGCAAATATTTGGTCTGCTGTCGCCAATAAAGATTATTTAGCTGTAACCGGATATTACTTTAAAGGATTTGATTTAGATAAGAGAATATTAGGTTTTAAATGTATTCTAGGATCACATAGTCCAGATTTAATATATAATACCATTTTAAATGTAATTGATGAATTCAGATTAAGAGATAAAGTAATGGGTATAACATTAGATAATGCTAGTGCCAATACAAAAGTAATTGAGTTTATTGAAAATGATTTAAGTTTATTCAGTGACGGTACTATTTTCCACAAATGTTGTGCATGTCACGTAATTAATTTAATTGTTAAATCTGGTTTAAAAGAAATAGGTAATCACATTAAAATAATTAGAGATAGTCTTGCATGGATTCAAGATAGTAACCAAAGACAAGAAGATTGATTTAGGTTCTTACAAGTATTAAATATACCTCCTAGAGCATTAGCGTTAGATATGCCTATAAGATGGAACTCAACTTACATAATGCTTCAACAATGCATCACCTATAAGGATGTTATAACAAACTATACGTGTGCAAAAGTAGGAGTAGGACATATAGACGCATATGATTGGCAAATTGCTGAAATTTTGTATCAATTTTTAGGTAGGTTTCATGAAGTGACTCTAAAACTTAGTGGAACATATTACCCAACATCACCTTTAGCTTTAGGAGAACTTTTACGAATTAATATTTTATTTAGCGAATATAGGGAAGACCCAATTTTAGCAGTTAATATCCATTCTATGGAAAAGAAATTTATAAAATATTGTTCTAAGTTGCCTTTGTTGTATGGTTTAGGTACTATTTTTTATCCTAGATTAAAATTAGAAGGTTTAGAAAACTTAGGTGAATTTTTATGCATCAATTGTAAGGACCAATATCCAATAATAAAGGTAAAATATATTCGATCTATAGTAAATATGAGATTAGGTTTAGAGTACCTCATAGAGTATAGGAAACGCAACAACAAGATGAAAATCCGCATTCATTCTTGAATATTTTCGGGTTGAAGAAGAAGAAGAAGACAACTCAAACAGAAGCTGGGAGTGAATCTTCGTCAATAAGTGGCAGTGGCAGCGGCGGTGGCAGCTTTAACGAGCTTATGACGTACCTCAGTGAAGGCTTAGTAGTCCACGGTACGGCAAAATCGTTTGACTTAGTTCAATGGTGGAGGGCACGGGCATTCGCCTGGCCAATCCTAACTCGATTGGCAATGGATATATTTTCGATCCCAGTCTCCACTGTTTCATCCAAACAAGCCTTCAGTACGACAGGAAGAATACTTGAGGAATGCCAGAATGCATTGCAAAGGGATATTATTGAAGCCTTAGTTTGCATTAAGGAATGGGATCGGGCCGATCAACATCTACAGGATACAATTTCGCCGGCAAGCCAAGAATAAATTGATGAATTTGTATAACTTTGTAAGTTTTAAAATTTGTAATTCGTCACAAAATAATTGCACTC